ATTAGGTGTCCTTTATAAGAATGTTAGTCTACTCACCAACTACAGTTTTACTCAGTTTTGTTTATCTGCTTAAAACTTTTCTTCTGGAGAAATTGTTAACATATAGGGTTGGTTATGATAAATAAAATGTTTCTGAATCCCCATTATAGCAATTTACCTCTCTGTTCTGCTATGGCCAAACCCATTATTGATATATAAAATATATTTCCCTTATACGAAGTCATCCTTTAGATCTTTTCCATGAGTTTCTGAATGTTTATGCCTTTAATAGATTTGCATGGATTGCCTGGTTTGGTGCACAACACAGATAGAGTTAAATCAGTAATAAGTGAGGGAATGTTCATTTTTAAAAAATTTCATTCTGCTTTGTTTCTGACTCATGATTATTTTCCCAGTTTTCATGTCACTGATATTACAATCAGCTCTGTAGGCATTAAATGCTGCTGTTGTTGTTATGTGCTGTCGAGTTGGAACCAATTCATAGTGACTTCTCCTTGGGTTTCTGAGGCGGTATCACTACGGGAGTAGATTGCCCAAGCTTCCTTCCCAGGAGTGGCTGGTGGGTTTGAACCACCAGCATTCTGGTTAGTCTCCGACTTCATTTTCTGCCTTTGCTTTAAGAATCTGCAACATTTTTTCTAATTCCTGATTTCCATCTTACTCAATTGTTTACGATATGGCTTCTGAATTTCCCACTAATTTCCTTAAAATTAAATAAAACATAGCTATTTTATTTGACCTTTTGTTTCGTTTGGCATTGCCAACCATTCCTTCCTTCTCACTATTTTCTAGACATATCGTTCATGATATTCACATTTATTACTTTTACTTTGCTTTCTGCTTCTCTAAAGATAATCTCTTCTCCTATTCATCTTTATGGAATGGTGTAGTGCTTAAGGCATTTTGACTACTAACCAAAAGGCTGGCAGGTCAGTCTGTTTCTGTAAATTCTTCACATTTTTCCTTATTCTTAGATCTACTTACATAGTTTCTTAGGTGGGCTTGATTTTACAACTGCTCTGACAGCTTTTAATTTTGCCATATTCCTGACTCTAACTCAGGTGATTTTGTGTGTGTGGCTCTTAAATCACCCTGTATCCTGACTATCCAATCAGCATATCAGCACATACATAATACTTGCATTAAGACAAAAAATCATTATCTGACTTCTGACTATGTCTTACAGAAATATCTTACTATTTGTGTTTGCCATGTGTACCTCCTCAATACACATTCACTATTTTTTTTTTAAATCATAAAAAGAAAATGTTGCTTTTGTTGCGTGCAATCAAGTTGTTTCAGCTGATAGTGATAAAATGTGACAGAGTAGCACTGCCCCACAGGACTTTCTTGGCTGTAATCTTTGTGGAAAGAAGCCTTAATATCACAGTGTTTAAGATCTTGACAGCTAATGAAAGGTTCAGTGGTTGAACTCACCAGAGCTCCTGAGAGGGAAGATGTGACACTCTGTTTCTGTAAAGATTATAGTCTTGTTAACCTTATGGAGCAGATCTACACTGTATGACTCTAAAGCAACAGGTTTGGTTTGATTTGGTTTAATCTTTACAGAAACAGGTCTTTCTTCATTAGAGACCCTGGGTGGGCTCCAACCACCAATCTCTTGCTTAGCAGCCCAGCACCTAACCATTCACACCACCAGAGCTCCATACCTAAGGTTCCCAAACCAAACCAGTTGTCAGCCAATTCTGAGCCTTCATGGTTCAGTGGTCAAGTGTTCATCTGTTGAGCAAATGGCAAGTAATGTGAATCCATCTGCTGCTTCCCCTAAGAAAGACGTGGCA